ATATTATTCAAAATAAAACTATAACCTTGTATATACTTTACTTTCAAGCTATCATAACTTTGTTCTAGGAAGAAGGCTTTGGTCTGTTTCCTTCTATTGTTCTCTTGTAAAATAAAGCAGTGGAAGATTTGGAAAGGTTCATCTCTTGTCTACCTGCTCAACAAATTTAACACTGAAATTTCACGCTTCATTTTCACATAACATCAGTTCCTACCTGCAGCAAGTCTCTTTTAATTTAAAGCTGTAAGGCTGACAGGTGTGTTTGTGAGTTGCACGTGCATTGCAGTGATATCTCACTCTTTGCTTCATGAGACAGGGCCTCAAAGACTTTATTAGACATTCTGACAAGTTTCTAGACAGCCGTCTTCAGTTTTCCGTGGAGAAGACAAATAAAAGCTGTCAGAATTTGAACATGGTATATATTAAAATGTCAGGCTCTTAATGCTTTGGTAGAGGTCTAAATGGTTTGGGAACATGTCATGGTATATTATATGCTTCATAATCTTCATTTGATTCACAAATATCAGAGAAATAGCCTTCCACCTGTTTGTGTTAAGGTCCCATGTAACCTTTATTCAGTTAGCACATTGATGACTGCTACTGTACACTGGAATATTCTGGAATATCATTTTAGTACTTTTCTAAAATGTAGAATCTACAATAATTGTTATTTTTGTTTAATCATTCACAAATTTAGAATCATTGTTTTGTTAATTATGTTTGTTTGCTACAGTACTATGACTCTCACACCCAAACAAGGTAATGACTTCAATATCCTAATCTTCCAAAATCATGCCATTCATCTCTTCTCTCCCTGCATGTCCATTTTCAACAAAAGGGCAAAGGCATCAAAAAGAGGACATGGCAGCTCTCACCAGTTATAAACTTCCAAGGCTTACAAATTTCTAAGTGCCAGCAAGGTACTTTATTGTAGAAGGGGTGAGTGCCATGTTGCAAGCTAGGATTGCCCATAATGCCCCCTAATGAACATTCCTGTGTCCCCTACAGTCCAGCATGAATCTTAGTGTCCAGATTACATCAATGTATGTTTAATACAAATTCATCTTTCCAAAAGTGTATTGGTACAGCTTCCCAGTGTTTTAGGTCTACGGACAGAAGGACATCTTAATGGCGGCCTTTCAGCCCATCTTCCTCATTTAATTACAGTTTACTGCATGATCCCGATATCAGTTTTAGCCAGTTTCTGAAGGATCCCAGAGTGTCTGCTTTAACAGCTTGTCTTAGCATTTTCTGCAGACATTCTTTATGCAAAGTAGTGCCTTTGTCCTTGTTTGGCTTATGATGGTAACTGGGGTTTTCTTTGCTGCCTTTGGGGATTCACAATATCTGAATTAAAATTGCAATCTTCTTTGTTCTAGAAAAAAAGACATTTTGTTTTTTCTCTTTTTTTATGTTTTTCTGTACTACTGTATTTTCTTTTAAAAAAATAATGCTATGCTAACTTTTGTAATACAAGATGTCAGGGGCAGGCTGGTGCTCAGGAGAAATAAAACTGCATAATCTGCACATAATACAGTCCTTCTGGACCAATGCAATTTGACATTAAATAAATGAAATGCCCTTTGAACAAATGACAACTTAGTCTGTTGTCATTTGAACAAAATGGAGCCCCTATAATAAAAAAAGAGCTTTATTATACCAAAAATATTTACCATTTACCATTTAATTTCCTTACTGGCTAGGAAAATTGTATCCCTATCACAATCACAGCTCTTTTATATACATACTGTATGTTCCTTATTGTCTTTTCTATATATTAGCATGTTGTATATTGCTTTTTTCAGTTTCTTTCATTGAAAAGAGAATTCTAGAGTAATAAGTCACAAATGGATATTTTATTGCAATGTGTTCCATGCATTCTTATATGATCCTAAGAAAAAAAAATACAAAAGGAATAAAAAATTGTCAATACATTATCTTTTAAGATAAAGAGAAGTTAATAACATACCAGTAATGCAGCATGTATTTCATCATAATTCTTTCAATGGTTTTCTGAGTGATACACCATAATCCATTTATCTTTTTCTTTTTGTCTCTACAATGTATTATGTGAGCTAATTTATATTATTTTTGCAACAATATTATTTTTTATAGTCTCTAAAAAGTGTAATCTTGTCACGTGTGTGTAAAACAACACAGATGGAAGGCTTCTTCTTTGTTAGCACAAAAACATAATTAGAACTTCCCGATTTGTGAACAGAACTCAACACCAGTCACATTAAATCACTGCAATAAACAAGTGCATGTCTACTCATGGGACTTCGGCACCATTTCACAGATAGGGTTGATAATTTGCTGTTTTCTTCCAAATGCAATCTGTTCCTGAGCTGTGCAGAGAAACTGCATGTGGTCTTCTCCAAATCAGGATTTCACTGAATAGCACAACCCACATCAGAGAGAGTCTGATTGAATAACTAACAGTGATGGATTACTTTATTTTTTTAGTTTTTCTAATTTCTGACATGCGCTCAAGGTATGAGGTTCATTCTTTAAAAATGAGGCTCCTACCTTCATTGACAAGATGTCATTAAATCAAATTCTATTTCATGCTTGCTTGCTCATATTCTTTGTCTGTACATATGGTCAACATAACTGCACAGTGTGTTTTAATGGCATTACCATGACAAATGTCTTAGGAATACTGGGCATTACATCTAGGACATCAGGTCATGCATATTCCACCCATTTATTTGTGACTTTATGATACCACTATAACAACTTTAGTTATAACCACCACTTGCATCAATATGCTGCAACATGTCAACCTATGGAATGCTGTCATATTGAATTTAATTTTTTTCTTACCATGAGTCTGTATTTTCCACATTTTCTGGAATTTCCATTGTAACCTTGTTTTCTACTTCCATTGCCTTTGATTAATTGCCATATGTAAGATGTTTACTGTTGATCCCCTTATCCTGGGCAATTATTTATAATATTAAGAACAAATTGTCCAGTGTAGAAATCTGTGGGTATCTGATCAGAAATCCCAGATCAAGAGATACTACCCTGCTGGACTTTCGCTATGTTCATTTCAGTCATTATTTAGCCATTTGCAAAGAGGCTTGATAGCTCCTACAGATTACACTATATTTTGAATGTACAGTAGATTTACAAAATAATGTGCTGGCCTTTATAAATGTACTGTTTGTGAATTGCTGAACTTTGCCAGTTTTTTTAGCAGTTTGAATTGTTTGTTTTGAAATAGATGTCACAGAATACAAAGGCTGAGGCTAAAGAACTTAAGAGGGTCTGTATGCATGTTGTGATGTTGGATCTGTTAATTCAGGAAGCTGGAGGAAGATTATGTAGTGTGTGAACAACTGTTGTAAAACTGTGAGTGTTACTAATATTCACTGTCTCCTTGTTGTAACCTAGTTAACTTCTGCAGTGAAAGACTTTTTCTTAAACTCTTTCATTCCATTTGACCCTGTAATGTTACCTTTCATGTTGACTGTTTAAAAACTGTAATCAGCTCATTGATTGTGACAACCTTAGATCTTCCTTTCAATATCCAGTGGTGTTTTCTAAGGAATTAATAACAAGGTAGAAGACATGTTTTCTGGTATTTCCGAAGAACAAAGTAAAAAAGCCTACTGCAATGTGATTAAACTGACCTGTCATTTTTCTTTTCTCTTAGTGGGGGCTCATGCTCTTTGGTTTGTATAAAAATCAATAATGGGTGGATCCCTTTTAATACCACCATTGACCTCAGCACAGAAGGACAAATCCTGTATGGCTTTGATATACAATCTATTCAGGCCACCTGGCTGGACCCATGGATGCTGTAAATGTATAATGTAATCCTTCATTTCCAATTTGAAGCCAGTTTTCTAAAGGTTATTAGAAAAATCATTAAATGGAAAAAAATCTTAATGTCAAAAACAGCATACACAGTTACACTGATAACATACCTAACAAAATCAACTGAAATACAATAATAAAAATGAGTTCTATCACTGCCCCCATCTTATTTTTTTTGGCTTGTTTTTTGGTACTAACAAATATGGTCTGCATTTTATCGGTGTCATTGATTCCTTCTCACGCTTAAGGCAGACACAGCTGCTAGGCAAAACTAATCAGACATCAGCAAATATACTGCACTTTTATTTGCTCTTTATGTCTTTATTGATTTTCCAAGTCTAGCACAATACATTGCTGGACAATCTTAGATACCTAAGATGCAGTTATAACAGCTAATGGAAACAAAAGAGCAAAGCTGTTTTATCTGTCATATGTCATGGAAAAACATACAGTACAACCTCTTTGTAGAAGAGCTTTAATAAATGAGACAATTGAGACCAATGGATATAATGTAATTAGTTTATAATTTGTTAGTCTGTGGCTTCTAAAGCACAAACAGTGACTTTTTAACCGGATCAAATAACCAGAAAATTCCACACAAATCTAAGTAAAAAGGGTGAACAGTATATAAAATGACTTCCTCTCCACACAGTAATAATGTCCCTTCTCTGATGTTGCAGCATTACAGGAAATATACTACAATAAGCATGACATGCAATTCTTAGATGTGGTTTTCTTTGCAATGAATCACCTCGTTAAAAGTTATCTTTCTGTTTTAGTTTGTTTTTTTCTCTTAATTGTTGTAATTTCAAGTCCTAAAAATGTTTCTTTAGAAGTTTAGGTTGAAATGCCATACTGCGGGTACAGCCCTGCAAAGCTTAACATTATAACTAACTGAGTTTTCAGGCTAATACTGTATCTCAAACCACTGTAATGGCACCACTCTAAGGAATAATATAAGAATATCATACATCTGCAACTGGATAATATAGAATTACCTTAATTAATCAGGTACAGTTACGGTGTGTATACAGTAGGTGCAGTATGATTTTTGAAAAAAAATATCTGGAGTTTAAGCAAACTAAAGCAATGCAATATCTTGTGTGAATTACAATAATACCAGGACTATACATTTAAATAAACTGTAATGTGTCTTGTTTGTTTTGTGTTCACAGCTCCAAAAGCATGACAAGGAAGATGAAGACACTCCTCTTAAATGGAGATCAGAGGAGGAAATGATCTCTGAAGCTGCTGATCTAAAGAAATACTTCATTTAGAACTGCCAGATACTGCAAGTACCACAATTCAGATGTCTTATAGAGTACTAAAGCACAGTTTCAACATACAATATATTACAATATATAACTTTAACCTGGGTTAACTCAGATTTAACTCAGTTAACAAAACATACTGTATATTCAAATTCAATAGTTGCTTGATTTTCATTTCAATTCAGTGTCTACAATATTTAACTATTTCACTTTTGTGGTACAAATATTAGACTTCATTTTCAACATTATTATTATCAGTATTATCTGCATAAAAGTACAATGTGAATGTTGCCCATAGCCTCAACTGATTATGGTGCAAAACTATAGGAATACCATAATGTACATAAATGCAACTTTTACATATTGTTTAGATGGTTATAGTAGTGTGATAGTATCTATAAATAATGTATCTAGTTGGAAATCAAAACATTAACATTGTCAGATAAATCTGCTTCCTTATTGAAAGAGATAAAAAGGCATGCAGTGTAAAATGAAATGAAGATGCATGAAACAGTCAGTTAGCATCTTTCCAGGAGGTCTGAACCCTTTGGTAATGAGGCAACATGCTTGTCTAGTGTGCAAGAAATCCAGCCTAGATTTCGCTCAACATTACAATATATAAAACAGCACATATTCGATGCTTAAAAATGTGTTATGCATTATTATGTGTTTAGTCATTTTCACTCATTCTTAAGATAACACAATTAGTTTCACTTAGAAGAGGTGTTCTGGGGTTAATTATTTTCAGCACATAAATGCAGCAGTAGTATGTATTGCTTTATAATGCATTAAAAATACTACAAAAATCGCACTTGGGTCCCTCACAAGTGAAGAGCAGTTAGTTGATTGGATCCATTTCTGTTCTTACATTTAATTTTATTTTGCAAATATTTTATTTTAACCTCTTAGATTTAGTTTAATTTAATTTTAATTTTGAAAACATGTGGTATCACAAATTGATTTTGCTCTTTCATTAAGATCCATATTTCTTTCATTGTAAAGACAGCTTTAGTGGATTTTTTTGTCCTTAAATCATTGGGATTATCCCCATTCCAGAGATATACCTAATTTTAATGAGCTGTTAATATTTAAATGGTACTGCATTCAGAATTTCTTTACAACTTACTTTACTTTTTATCGTTTTTTCTCTTAGGAAATTTTAACTTAAATGTTTGAAGTCTTGGATATTCTTTGGTTCACATTTGAGAAAGCTGAAAAAACAGCTGAAATCATGTCTTTATGGTGATCTGAAAAGTATTTTTTTTATTTGCTTCCAGCACAATTTAGTGTGTATCAACAAGTTATACCCACCCCTAAATATACACACTCCTTTTCCCATTTCCTGCTTTCATTTTTCAATGTTTTACTGTCAGAGATGGCAGGTTGAGAGCAGTGCTGGATTTGCACTGATGTGAAATAGTATTAAAATATCAACTTTGTACTGAAACAGGCTGTAGGGCTGAGTTGTGGTTCTTGTTCTTGTAATTTGTATTAAATTGTCGCACAAGAGGAATTTACTTGAACTAGATTCTGTGGTTTTATTCCTCTACTTAGGTATCAGATTCATCCTGGATGAGATGAATCAACTGAGTTCAGTTTATACTAAGCTAAACAGTATAACAGAAGTGTCACCTCACCAGTTTCTGTTTGGGAGTCTGGCCCAGGGAATCATACTACAGTGATGCCACTGAGTGCAATGCATTGTATGTTATTCTTGAAAAAGAGAAATATCTTTAAGTATACAGGCAGAGCAATCTTTTTGCTCTATTATGTAACTCAGTAAACCGATTTTCTTTTACCACAACAAAGATTTATTCATTATTACCAATTTTTCTGTTCTGTAAAGCTAGACCCTGATATTCTGTAGCAGAGCTGTATTTTGTTTTAGAAACAATGCAAAAAAAGTTGATGATGTTATTTGTTAAATAACAGACACACCTGGATTCCATGTACAGTATAAGTTATTTTCATGCACCAAAACCACCAGGTGCCTTGTTGAAATAGAACAAGAACAAACCAGACATCAAAGCAAAGTACTGTGTGGTATGAAGCCTGGAAGGAGACAGTGATTACTTTAGGAAGGCCTGATATTTTAACTGGAGTTGTAAATTGACGCTAATGCATAACTTCCTTATTTCTGGTTGACATTATGCCTTTCTGACTAGTGTAATTAATAACCAAACTGTCCACAGCAATAGTGTGATGTACTGTATTTTAAAAATACCCAGAAACAGTTTATGTACGTATAATTATTTGATATTTTGACCAATATTGCCAGTAACAGATGTATTACAGTGCAGACATGTACACTGGCCAACTGCCCATCAAATTAAAGATTAAATTATGCTGAAAATAAAAGGTATAGTTTTCCTGTGCTTACTGACTTGCTTCTCTATGTGGCATTGGGGCTTGCATCTTGCATCTTGCATCAAGATAACATGTGGCAAATAAAATGCAGCATCTGCTAAGAGAATATTACAAGGCTCGTTAAATCAAATTTATTGCAGTGCAGGGTTCTACAGAAGAGGATGAGGCATTTGTGTAACATGTTTCACTCTCTTTCATTTGTGTTGTTAACAGTAAAGATCAGGCTTGAAAGAACAAGAAGAAGTGATCCTTTGCAGACCCTGCTGCCTCATGAGGGCTTCTTCAAGACAGGCTTGACTTGTGTAGAGATAATGCTGGTGAGAAGTGAGAAGACTCTGATCATAATATCCACTACACCCCCAGGACTGAAAAATGGAAGAGGGAAGGACACAAAGCACAGCAGAAATGTAAACACAGAACTGGTGAAACTGGGAAAGAGAAAACTGTTTGGCCTAACAATATGAAAATTCTTTTGCATTTTAATCGATTTGTTTCTTTCAAAAGAAAATTGTTAAACATTATGTGAAAAGGCAGATAAAGGTCATCATATTTTTGTTTTTATAGAAAATAAATCTTATTTAGGCATGCCTGCAGCATGCTTTCCTAACATTGTCAGTTGTTCTCTGTATTGCAAATATATTTGTTTGCAGGATTTTGTATCAGAAACAAGTAATGCTTAGCAATTTCAGGACAATAACAAGACATCCTGCTGATGAGGTAATAACACCAAAGGTTAAAAATGAGAAGGGGTAATTTTGTTGTAGCTTGTTTGATTGCTTGTAGTGTATTGATCAAAGGAGCTCATCTGGCTGTTTCAGTAATGTAGTTGGGCAGTTGGTCCCAGACCCCACCAGTTCTTAGTTCCCACTTGTGTTCTTGTTTCTATGGTGGTCCTACAAGTTGATTGGGTCACTTTTGTACAACTTGTCAGATGAGGTAAAGAGTTCACATGCATTAGCAGCTCAAAAAAGAAGTAGCATGAAGTTCTTTGATATTTTGTTACAATAAAATGATGCCTCTCTGCTGTTTTGACTTTTTTAAATTTTATACAATGGAAACTCCCAAAAGATGAAGGTTTAATATTCTTTTTAGACTAAACTGCTACCAGCAGGAAAGTTCTGTGAGATGACAAATCATTAAAAAAAAGATTTTCTATGATGTGGTTATACCATGATCAAGTGCAGTGTTCATTCAGCTGGAAGTATTGGCCAGTGAAAATATGATGTTGACAGAGTAATAGCTGAAACCTGTGGCCTCTGTTGTAATATAGATGTAAAAGGGCCATCAATTTTAAACAATATTATTAAGCATGTAGCATTGCTTTAACACTGTAATTTAAGGAGTCGCTAGAAGAAATCTATAAAATATGGCTTTGCACAGATAAACTTGACTTACCTTTGAAATAAATGCATTCACAGTTTAGGCTTAAAGTTTCATGCTTTACCTCCAGGGCAAACCTGTGCCACCTCATACCCCATCAGCATACAAATGTGATTCACTCTTGCGGTCATGTTTTCATTGATAAGCATGAACACAGGAAAAGCTGAAATCCTTAAAACATATTGGATATAATTAACAATTTATAATAAATTGCATATGATGTTGAATTTTAATTAGAACTTACACCTAAATACCAGTTATGGGTATTGCAATGTCTATCATTTATGATATATGGTTTAATTACCTTCTTGACTTGGTTATAGTTCTTAATTACTCATATATTACAGAAGATTATGGGGTCATTGTGGTAATGGCCCAGTAAATCACATATGTTGATCCACAGGGCATTATAAATAAAACACACAAAAATAATTAAAATTAAATTTTTAAACACCAGTTGGAGTCTTCGGTCATTTAATACTGCAGAAAGTCTTATTTTGGGAGATAAATGCCTGTCTCTAATTTCTTACTTTATTGTTTGTTAATTCAGAAATCAAATTGAAATGTCGAAATTTCATTTGTGAAAGAAAATAAAACGAAAATGTTAGAAATTCATTTACCCAAGCAACTATCTAAAGTGTAACTTCACATGGATAAAAAAATACATATTTATCCAGTTCCTTATTTATCATGTTTATTTTCTTAGACCTTTACACAAAAGTAATCTCCTATAAAGCAGAGCTTTCACTTAAAGGTACAGATATACCATACAGGATATGGTTTGTTTTTCAAAAACATGATACAACTTCCATTTCCTGAAAAAGCAATCCATTGTGTTTTATTTTGAAATAGCTATGCTATTTATTAATTTTGATACTGTCTCTTTTGTTATGCACCTGTCTTAGACAAGTTCAGAATCACGTTCATGCAGCTCATCCCAGTGTAACCTGGGAAATCTCTTTATCAGTGTGTGTATCAAAACAATGATACCTTCAGGCTTCTTGGGATGACAGCACAGTAAGTACAGTATATACTGTACCATCACATACATTATTACCAGAGTGAACCTTCTTGGATACTAGTCAATGAGATTTATTAATTTATTTAAAGTAAACCATTTTTTCATGGAATATGCTGCTTCAGATTAATGACACTGAATGAGAGTTGCCCTAGAATCCTAGAATTTGTGTTCCCTTAATAGCTTTTATGTTGCTGTTTTTGACCTGACATTAATCAAACAGATGGCAGATTTTCTGCCTTTTAAATATATAATTCTTCTGTGGCTCTGCAGTTTAAAAACTATAAAGGTAAAAATAAAAATAAAAACTGGAAAAACATAGTATCTGTAAAATGAAAATTCCTGTGAATCCTTAATCCTCAGCAGTGCCAGGCATGGGTGGCCTTGACGTGGCTCAGACACCTCTGCTTGTAGTACCACAGTACCCCCTAGAGTTTGGCAAGTGACCATGAGCTTGCAGTGCTGTCAGTGAGACAATACTCCTCCAGGTGATGCTGACACTGCTGTGGGTAGTATGGCTCTAAGAAGTGCTCTTTTCTGAGGAAGAACAAGATTCAGGAAAGTGGTCACAGTTGTCCGGCATTAGCACAACACTTTAAGGAATACAGTTGGTCTATTGGTCTAATAATGACCAGTTCTGAACTAAAGAATCAGCTGACATGTTGTTTTTCTTCAGCTGAAATAATTTAGTTAGCATTTTAACTCTTAGGATTTGGCCTAAAAGATTAAAATATTCTGTTTTTCATTCATGAGTCATGCATTTGGATAAGTCTCCCGCAGTAAATCATGCTTTTTATATCACACAAGTGTAGGCAATCCAGGACATCAGTTGCAAATTCACAATCGTAAAAGACAAATCTCCATTTGGCAAAGCCATCCACATTTTAGAATCCTTAAACACAGGAGGAGTGTATCGGATCTGTGCCTTGAAGTTACAGATATACCGGATTATTCCAGAACAACAAATGCCATGTCAAAATGGGCTATGATTAAATATTTTAAATATTTTAAGATTCAGTTTAGTTAATTTTGTACATTTGCAGTGCACTATGTCTATGTGGTATTTAATATATAGCTAATGAAACACATCCTAAAGAGAATATGCCCTTCAAGGACAAAGAGGGAATAGCAATAAGTAATAGAATAAAATAATAAAAATGTATTTGTTTAATTTGAATAGTTCATTAATAGGTTTAACTATAGAGACAGATATTTTTTGTAAGAGGTGGGGGTGACGCGGCATTGGTGTGAACAGTATGTGGAAATGTGGTTTTCTTGATATCATTATACTGTGAAGCTCATAATGAATATTTTATGTTGTTTTGTTCTTTTAAAAGTCCTTTATTTTTCAGCACTCTTGCAATACAGTAGATTGTGAATCAGAAACTCTTCTCCTTCCTGCATGTAAATATTGTCAGAAAGCAGACCCTAAGAGCTACAGTAAATCTGTAAGTGGTCACTTGGAAATGTCTCTGTGAGTATGTGGGTGGTGGTTTTATATTTTAAGGGCATTATTTGCACCTAATGGACTTGCTCTTGAAATGCATTTGCTGATTTAAGTAAATGGACATGCCTCCTGTTGTTGCTTTAGGACAGAAATAATGCTGTTTAAATGGCTGTTCAGTTTTGAATTTAGCCATCATGCAAACATGGCCTGAATCAAGCGACAGTGAAGTGAATGATAAGGCTAAACAGAATATCTCCACGAGCGTCCTAAAATAAGTGCCTGTCTTACCCAGGGGGGGCTCTTCTGCTGTTAAGTATTTAATGGAAGGTCCTTGTCTACATTGGTCTTAGAAATCAGCCCCAGGACATGTGGAGAAGGCTAAGGAAAACGATACAGCATCTGCAAAGATTGCCATCGCATATTGACTTCACACATACAGCCGTCAGGGATGCACAAAACAGATAATCCACTTGGCAAATCCCTTTTCTCTTTTGTTAAGGACTATTTCTTTTTTGGAGAATAGAAAAGAACCATTTTCTCTCCTGTACATATGTTTCCTCCTGTGGTGAGATGAAGGAGCTGTTTCTTCAAGTCATTTTCAACAAAAACAAGAGAATATATATTCAGTATATACTTATTAAGTCACACATTTATCTGACTAAAATGGAAAAATGCTTAAAATATTCTAAATGTTTCTGAAGCCTAAAGTAAAATTTATTACATTTAAAACTTTTCTTGCTAAATGATTTTTAAGTCATTTAGCAAGTAAACTAAGTCCTCTGAGTCTGTTTACTATTAAAGAACAAGCATTATGGTGTATGTGACGGTAGAATGCTGCTACATATACTGTATTCTATATCATACTGTACCATATCAAATTATTGTTAAGTATCTATTACCTTGTAAAAGTTATATATGATCATGTTGTAAATTGTTTTCATATTGATGACAGTAAAAGTCCATACAAAAAACAGGAACAGGAACAGGAAATCAGTCAGAAATTTCAGTTTTCCTTAATCAATAATAATTAAAAAGCTTGAAGTGTTAAAACACATAAAATGGCAGTAAGACGCAAAGCAAACTGAGTTATGAGTCTCTAAATCCTCCTTACCCTAATGTTGCAGTTATGCCACTGCAATTGTCAATATTTCTGTTTATTTCCATTAAGGAAAACAGTGCTTAAAGCACATTTGCAAATAAAATAAAAATGTTAATTGATAAACCAAAATGAAGAAAAACAAATAAGTGGTATACATTTAAATAATTTTAAATATTGAAAGTTTAATGTTTCCCACAGTTTGACAAGTTTTGCTGTATACATTTTTTAATTTCCTTCTCTTTTCATAGTATCTTATGCTCTTAGATTTATGATCTTACACTTATTATGTTTCTATTATGCCAAATATATATCTCATACAGCTGCTACCAGATTGAAATATCTCCACCTTGCACAGTAATGCCATAATTATTCCCTCTAGCTGCTTGACAACCTAGGGCTGGTTTTGGAAACAGTAACAACTCTAAGACTGATTTAGTCACTTTTTTATACATGATCCCACGTGGTGATTAAAACAACATTTTTATTCTAGGACTGGCTGAAACCTCTGCAGACAGCATAAGACTGTCAGTGTGTATGTGTCATATGCCTTTCCAATTGGAAGCTTTACTGACAAATCGGTGTACATACCATTGACACTAATTACTGAGAAAATAACAGATCAACTCAGCTTCTGAGCAGCATGGTACCAAGTATATTAACACTATGTAAATGTCATACTGGCTCCTAATGGTATGTCTTTATCCTATGTAAAGCTGTTTTTCTGCAGAGATTTAATTAGGTTTCAACTATGCAGGGAACCTCTATAAATTTATCAGTTATACCTGCTATTTAATAAAATTAGAAAAGGATACATAAGAGTATTTGTGAATTTAAATGCTAGAAATAATAACCTAAATTGCTGTCTAAATACTGAGTCTATATAGTTGCAGATGAGGCATGCAAAGCAAATGGTTATTTAAGCATGAATGAAAAAAGGAAAAGTGAACATACACTCGAGAATTTGGGTATCCTTCTCTCTTCAAATTGAAAACTGATGTTAAATTATGAACCTAAGAAAAGAAAAAGGTGAATTAGACCAATTTAAAAGTAATTAGACCACACCCATTACACTTCCAATTCAG